AGCCACTCCTCAGAAGGAAGGTTGGGCAATCTACTTCCGAAGTGATATGGCTTTGGAAACTCAAGGAGGGGTTGCTATGAGTCAGGGCCAACTCAATGGCACATAACAACAACAACAACAATAATAATGGGGTGAATGCATTTTGCATGTGGCAAAGACATGAATTTTGGGGGGGTCAAAGGGTGGAATGTTATGGATTAATTTATGTCCCCCACTACATGTGTTATAATCCTAATCTTTATGCCTATGGTTATAATCCCATCTGGGAATGGGTTGTCTTTGTTTGTTAATGAGGCAGGATTAGTGTAGGGTGTATCTTGAGTTGATATCTTTTGAGATATAAAAGAGATTAAACAAACAAGCAGAGAGAGATGGTGTAAGACAGATGCAAAGATACATGGAGATCTCCAAGGAACAAGAAAGCAGAAAATGAAGAGGCAAGGACCTTCCTTACAGCCAACAGAGAGACTTCTCCTATAGCCCATGTTCTGAATTTGGACTTGTAGCCTCTGAAACTGTGAGAAAATAGATTTGTTTGTTAAAGTCATCCCCTTGTGGTATTTCTGTTATAGCAGCTAACTCTGGTAGTGTAGTGGCTAAGGCATTTGGCTATTAACCAAAAGGTTGGTGGTTCAAACTCACCAGCTGCTCTGTAGAAAAGCATTTAGGCAATCTGCTTCCACAAAGATTTACAGCCTTAGACGCCAATGGGGGTCTCTATGAGTTAGAATTGACTTGATGGCAATGAGTTTGGTTTTTTCAGTCGATAACTAAGACAATCAATATGAAATTTTTAATGAGACATTATGCATTTTTTACTGTGCTAAGTCTCCGAAGCCCAGTGTGCACTTCATGTTTACAGCTTAGCTCCATGGGAATGGCCACATCGTAAGAGCTCAGTAGTCACATGAAGCTAGCGGCTGCGTGTGGGGCAGCACGTGGCCTCTAACTGGTCTCCTTGCCTCCCGTCTGAGGGTTCCCCCTGAAAGGTCAGATGGGAGAGGCTGACATGGATGTTCAGGCAGAAGGGCTGCAATCCTGGTGACCTCTTGAGCCTCTGTCTTGTGATCCCACCTGCCTATGCCCCACTCCCCTATGCCCCAGGACTGATGGCATTTCTGTCCCCTCTCAGCTCTGGGCTCTGCCACTGTTTGTCCTCCATCCCAGTGAAACCTAGGGATGTGGGGACAGGATAAAGCCCAGAGGACCCAGGCAGGGAGTAGGTGTGCAGAGAGATGCACACAATGAGGAAGCCCCAGGCTTTCACTCACCCCTCCAGGAAGCCCGAAGATTCTCTCCAAATCAGGTGGCGTGAGGATGTCTCTGCCCACTACAGAGGCCTTGAAGCCAGGGGCATAGGCCTCAATGCAGTCAAATACTGGGGGACAAACAGTAGGGAAGTGAGATGATAATTAGGACAAAAAGTCCCCAAGACCCAGCAAAGACAGGGTACAGGAATATGTGGCATCAATGAGTATATTTACTAAAAATCATTGATTTATACACTTAAAATGGATTAATTTTATCATAAGTAAATTATACCTCAATGAAGTTAAACAAAACAAAACAATCCATACATAGACAAATAAATAATTTACCACAAAGACCCATGGGTCTTAGGTCAGTCCAGCCCTCTCATATCTCTCCAACTTCTTACTCCACCCTCAACAAGAAGTTACTTTTCTCCCCTTAAGTATGGAAGGTTCTTTTTACCTCCTTGCTTTGCTCATGCTGTTGTTCCCTCTCCTTGAAATATCTTTTTCTATCTGTTGTTGTTGTTGTTATGTGCCGTCGAGTCGGACCCGACTCATAGCGACCCCTCCTTGGGTTTTTGAGGCAGTATTACTACGGAAGTAGATTGCCCAATCTTCCTTCTGAGGAGTGGCTGGTGGGTTTGAACCACCAGCTTCTGGTTAGCTAGCCAACTCTTATTCATCCTCGGAAACCCACCTCAAATGTCCCTTCCATTGAAAAACCCTCCCTGTCTCTCTGGCTCATGGCTTTCTTTTTGTTCATACAGTACATTTTTGGCTCATACAGTACCTTGTACTGTAATTATTGGTTTGTTTATTAGTCTCCCCCACAAGGCTATGGCAATTTAAGGGCAGGGCCTGACCCCAGCAGATATTCAATATGTTTGCTGACATTGTTGACTTAAGGTTTCCTCAGGTACTTCTCTCCCCATGGGACACTTGAATGGGGCAAGTCTGGGAGGAGAGGGGACTGGTGGGGCTTGTGTGTCCATCTGTTGCTCTGGAGACAGGGCAGTCTAGCCCTCTTTACCTCTGTCTGCATAAGCTTCTCTCTCCTGCTCGCTCCAGGCCTTGCCTCCAGCCAGCACATAGGGAGTGTACTGAGTGAAGAGGGAGATAACATGGCAGCCAGGGGGAGCCAGGGTGGAGTCCAATGAAGAGGGAATGCAGAGCTCAATCATAGGCCTGCGTTGGGGAGGAGGCAGGGTCAGGTCTGAAGAGCAGCAGAGACCCTGAGGGAGGGGCCGGGGAACCAGTCTGACATGGCCTGGGACAAAATGAAGCCCCTTGGAAGACACAGAGGCTGGCCCGATCCTCCCTGTGAGGCCTCAGTGGTTGTTGCCTGCACGGTCCTGGTCCCAGCGACCACAGGGACAGTCCAGACCACTGCAGGGAGCTCCTTCCTCCCAGTCCCCACCCAGGCCTGGCCTGCAGGCCGCAGGGTCTCTGGGCAGGCCCAGCTCCTATCTGAATGTGGCCCGAGCCTGCTTCCTCACCACAGACTCTAACCAGGGCTCCCAAAGGCAAATGTCTTCACAGCCCAGAAAGCATCTTCTCTTCTTCCCAAATGCCAGAGTGGCTCTCTGTGCAGTGTTCACATAATCCTAGAACCTGTGACACTTCCTTCAGCATGTTCTCCCTTCCCTCTACCTGATATGGTCCACAGACTTGTTGCCTGGGATGAATTCCTGTCCTTAGAACTGAGGTATAGTGTGAGGCAGATCCTCCGTCAGTGTGGATACATAACATCAGGCAGAAGACCATGCACTGCTGTCACCCCCCCACACACACACACACACACACCCTTGATTCATGTGTAAGAACATCCCAGGGAACCAGGAAAGGTGAGCTGGTGAAAAGCCCACTGGCCCATGCACCTGTGGGAAGGGAGGCCATCCATGGCGTCTTCGAAGGCCTGATGGAGAAGGTGGGTATCTTCACAGTTGAGATGGATGGAGCATTGGTGATGGGGCAGAGGCTGGCCTCCAGGAGCACTGGGTGCAGCCAGGAAATTGGGCAGCCTGTCTACAGCCACTGAGGGATCAGAAAGGAGGGTCACAGGCAAGGCCCTCTGTCCTCAGTCCCACAGGGTCCTCCCTCTACAACCAGTACCTGACTCACCCAAGGAAGAAAAAGTAGGAAAAAGGATTTGCAATGTGGGGGAAGGGCAAGCTGGAGGCAGGAGAAGGAGCTGATGTAGACCACTTGTGTAATGTCAAAAGAGATAGCTCTTTACTCCAGGTGGGCCTCTTACCATTGATCTTAGTAACAGGTGACTGGGTGTCCAGCTGAGAGATTCTCCCCACGAACTCCTCAGGGAGCCACTCCTGGAAGAGGAAGACAATGGGAAAGACCTAGGGATAGCCAAGGCCTCGTGGGAACTGTGTTCTCCCTTTGCTTGGGCCCTCAGCCTCTGACTGCAGAACTCCTCTTCACCCTTCAAAGCTCAGCCAAAATCACCTCCTCTGTGAAGCCTTCCTGTATCCTCCCACTCAACACTAACCACTCCTTACTCTGAGATCTGCGTACAATTCTCACTGTGAAA